CGTGCTCTTTGATGTAGTGAATGACGCTGTCTGGCAGAAGGTATCTGACGCTCTGGCCGCGCCGCAGCGACCGCCGCACATGAGTGGCTGAGATGTCGTTAGTCACCCATTCGCGGACGATATGGATGTTCTTGCGATACTTCCACAGCAAGTCTGACTGGTGGATGAACTTGTGTGGATCACTGTTGCTGCGGGTGATGCAAACCAAACCGTGGCGGCCCACGATCTCTGCGATATCCTCCTGCTTCCACATGTTGGGAATCCCAAAAGACTCGAGGACATCAGCCCCGCACAGCAACATCAGCTGAAGGTCATCTGAGCACAGAGAAACAAGTTTGTCAGCACAACACAAGAGTCAACTAATCCACACTGTGCATATGCTTCAGGTCAAAAATTTTAGAACCCCCCAATTCTTCCAGTTTTTTATTGAAATTTAAGCAGTTTAATGTCTCGTTGAGATTAAAGCATAGAACAACCATGGAATCCATTTATAAATCAAAATGTAATCTAAACTTTTCATCAAAGTAGTCACCTTTGGCAGAGAGAACAGCTAAAAACACTCATGGCATTATCTCTACAATGCCATCTATCCATCCGTCCAGCCGCATGAAAGTGAAACTCTCGGTTTACCAGTCAATCGACGTCCCTGTCCTCTACTATGGTCGCGAGCTCTGGGTAGTGACTGAAAGAATGAGATCGCGTATACAAGCGGCGAAAATGAGCTCAGCCACCTGAGAATGGCTCAGAGTAGAGTCACTACTCCTCCACATCAAAAGAAGTCAGTTGAGGTGGTTCAAGCATCTGGCAAGGATGCCTACTGGCCAACTCCAGAATGAGGCCCAGGGGCAGACCCAGGACCTGCTGGAGACACAGAGGCCTAGAAATGCCTCTGTGTTCCTCGGGATAAGCTGGAGGTGGCGGCTGGAGAGAGGGAGGTCTGGGCATCCTTGCTTAGGCTACTGTGCCCACGACCGTGCCATGGATAAGGAGAAGAAAATGGATGGATGGAAGTTTTTCCCAGCTGTGTTGCAGAAGTTCCCATAAATGCATGGCACTTTTAGGATGGAGAGTGTGCTGGCCATTCCATTCTTGTTTCTTTTTCCTACTGTAGTTCCGGCACAGCTTGGACTTATGTTTTGGGTTTTTATCTTGGTGTAGGATGAACCCCTGACCAACTAGGTGCATACCAGAGGGTACTGCATGGCAATGCAGAACCATTTTGGTTCAAGGTGCCTCTAAATCTGTACATGTCACCAACATCCCGAGACCATCACGCTTCCTCCTCATATTTAAAAGTTGATGTCACACTCAACATGTTTTTTCTTGTTCAAAAGTAGGTTGGTAGGACCAACCGTCAAAGCTCGATCAACCTCCTTTGCTGCGGAACAGGTTTAAGTTCTTAATCCATTTCCTGTTCTCTAAAAAAGGCCATTGTATATTTCTGAAATATGTATTTTTTTAGTTTTAGGTAACATTACACTATTTTAAGCTATTCGTTGGACTTGAGCTGCTTGAATTTCAATTTAAAGAATGGAAGAATTGGGGTCTTCTTAAAGTTTGGACCATTAGTGTATTCACTATCTGTCATGGGGCAGAACAGTGCATATGTGACTGCCTGAAATTGACACACATGAAATCAAATTCTATTTATTTCAGCTTCTACATCAGTTGAGTTTGAAGGTGTGGAATAACAAAGAAGTGCGCTTACTGGAACTTGCCTACATTAGCTGCGAATAAGAACACACCCAAATGTCCTAATGAATTGTCAGTGGTCACGTTGCACTGCAGATCATTGCAGGGTTGAAATTTTGATGAGGAAAGAGGGTGATTCATAGAATAAAGAAGAAGATATTCAGTTCTGCTGCACTGGTTTTAAACTGAACTGCTGACATCTTAACCCTGTAATGCCAAGTGTAACGTATTTGATACATGAGATTTTGTGACCTCTGCATCTTCTGTTTTCCATTTTTTTTCCTGAATAAATTGGACAGTAAGTATTTAAGTAATACATTGCACAAAAATGCCAACTGTAGCTCACATATAACTCATATATGCAAACTGATAAAATTGATATTTAATACATTTTTTGTCAGAATATTCTGGCAATTACACTTCATGGTTCAAGCTTTACAGGGTTAAGCGATGCTAGTAGAACTTAAATGCAAAGCATAGTATGCACTTCAACCTGCCAGCTTTTACAATGCACCTTCAGCAAAAATTCAAGTGCTTCCATAATGCATATTTTTCCCTTCCATCCCCCAGAGGCTCAGCTCGTGCTGTTAACACCACACCTGTGTATCCACACCCTAAACCCATTCTCTTGTCAGTTAAGCTGCAAACAGGAAAATCCTGACAACTACGTTTGTTGCATGGCTCGTTTGATGGACAAGAAAAGTTACAGACAATGACAGGGAGGTAAATGTATGGCATGACATACCTCTGTCTTTGTGATGATTCTCTTCTATGCGCCTCTTTTTTGCATACTTGATCGTGTCCACATCATCGATGTTCTGCTCTGATGCAAGAAGCTCCTCATAGTGATGCCTGTAAATTTACAAATTGGAATCAAAGATTTTTATCAAGCAAAAACCACGCTGAGTGTATACTATATTTACAGTTTGCTATAAAGTGGAAAAAGGCTACTATTGGTAGTTGTCAATCAGCAAAATAATGCTCCAAAATCCAATTCTCGTTATGCTAAATGCATTTGATCTCATTATTAAACTGTTTTTGTGCCTTTTATGGGGTTTTTTCTTCAAGTCTGTGAGGCTGCAGTTTTATTTCAGATTCTTTTCACCATCAGCATTTAATAATTTCAGCCTTCAACTTAAACAATTAAGGAATTTTGATTGACTTTGTCTGATTCTATCTTGTTTGAACTGCACCTGCAAAGTTCTGGGAAGTATTCGGCAAATCATAACATGTATCAAGTATCATACCAGTGAAGGCTCTCACATTTCCTGCCTTGCATTTCTTCCTTTTCCTGCTGCCACAGGAAAACAGATGACAAAGATTCTAAATAATGATTTCATTTATGTGAGGCATAATGATGTTAATTATCTAATATCTAATTAAGCCTGCACAAGTTTAATTTTAATCCCTAAGGTTTAAATCAAACCTCTATAATGGATTTTGTTACTTTAAGAATTAATTTATCTAGAACACACACACACACACACACACACACACACATATCAAATCTAAAGCAAAAGTACTCAGACGCAAGAAATGTCAACTCACCGAACTACTTTAGCCGTTTCCACCCACTCTGGCTGCAAACTCTCCCAGGAATCCACCATAACCCAGTCTGAGCTTTCGGTAGCCAATCGAGTCATCTCCAGACGGTGGCAGGCTTCAATCAAGCCCTTTTTCTTATATGCATCACCCACTGGAGAGATGATTCCTCTCACCACCTTATACTGACCTTACGCACAAAAGAAGACACGTGTTTAAGTACTGGTCAGGTAAAATATTATATTTGAATTATTAGACTTTATTGGACAGAACAGTAGAGTAGAGAAGAAAGGTGGAAGAGAGCACAAGGGAAATGACACACGGGAAACTAAGCAGAATAGAATCCAGGCAGCCACAGCCGAAACAAAGACAGAATCAAAGAAATCAGCATTTACTGAATAAATAATTGGTTCTAGCTCGATAGTGTAGTGGTTTACACATTAGCCTAACAAACAAAAGATCCCTGGTTTGATCCCAGGTCTACCAAATCAAAATATGTGGTGAAATGCAAAGTCATTCCAGCTGGAGGGGTCAGGAAGGGGATCTGGCATAAAACTCCCAAATCAAGTATGAGGCACAACCTAATAGTGTCTATTAATAATATAATAATGCAATATTAAAACACTGCCAGCTTTTCTGTACTGTCATATTAATCAATTTACAAAAGCATAATTCCTTCTTGAACTATTTTGTATCTGGGCTTTTGGTATAACAATTTTATCCAAAACACTTGTCTCTCCAATGTACTAATTCACAATCCCTTTTTACGACAAAGCTACCCCTTTCACTTAATTTTTGCACATCTATCCATCTTCTTCCAATTTATCCATTTCAGGATTGCAGGGTACATCCTGGGTAGATTGCAAATATGTTGCAGGGGTAACATATAGAAACAGAGAACCCTTCATGCACACATTTGCACCTACAGTAAGTTTAGAATCATCCCATGCATGTCTCTGCGTTGGGTGACTGTGGGAGAAAGCTGGAGTACCCAGAATTAAAGCTGGAGTATGATTCATTCATTTAAAAAAAAAGAAAAGAATGGATGATAAAGGTGGAGATGCATCACACTAAAAGATCCAATTTTCATGTAACTCAACCTGTGTCTTCCAGGTGATCTCGTGCCAGTTCAAACATCCTCATGTGCATGTTGGTGATGGGGTTGAAGGACCCGCAGGCCAGCAGGACCACTTTGGTTATACTGTGACCCTCCATGGCTCATACTGGAGCTGGGTTTGCACAAACAAGGAGAAGAAACGAAGACTGATTAAGACTTGGCTGATCACATGTCGAGAATCGCTTTGTGGGGGGCGGAAACAGTATATTTGTATCAAGAGAGTAGTTTAACCTCGTAAATACAGTCTGTGAGCTTCATAAAGTGGAACTACAAACGTAAAGAAAACTAAAGCTCGACGCTTTATCTATGTTAAACGTTAGCATTCGACTATAACAAGTAGCTAACTTTAGCTTATCTATTGAGCACACAGCGCGAGCCTCCTTTTACGTCCAAGATTCACGTACGGGACCCTTAAACAGACAAAACATGAACTCGGTGCTTAACTTAAAAGCAAATTATGCGTTTTTAATATAATGTCAAATAATGTAGTCATTGTAGTACCAAGACAAACAGCTACAGATACCATTTGTGTTTCACCCGCTTCCTCCTTTGACGTCGCGGACTACGCTGTAAAATCCACTAATCCGATTGGACACAATCGACAAGGAAGCGGTGAGCCGCACCCGCTCTGGTGGTGCTGCGTTCACAATCACAAATTCCCCAAATCCCAAACATCTCGACTAATAGTAAACGTGTTATAGCCGTATTTTAAGTAATTATTTTTAATTTTCCTCTAGAACGGCTACCTTCTTTAATTTACGATAAACTCTTGAGCAAATGCTAACATTCTACTAAGGCTGATTTGCAGCTGTTTACAAAGAAATTCCCGGTAAGATGTTTTCCTTTAGCATGTACGCTAGCTGTTTAGCTAACAAAACAACTTGGACTGTTTGCATGAACTTCCAACACACAGATACATTTATCTTATCAGTGTAGTCGCCAAAGAGACTGTTAGATCCGATAAAGTGTTGTGTCTTTTTTCACTAACAGCTCTGCTCTCATCGAGTGGAAATAGCACGTTAGGTCATCTTTGAGTTATCTGTGAAGTACATCAGCAACAAAACCTAACGTGACCTGTTGTTTGGTGCCAGTTCTCTCAGTTCCCGTAGGAAAAATAGGATTTTAACTGAAGATGGCCTCTCGAGGGAAATCAGAAACTGGAAAATTGAGGCAAAATATGGAGGAACAACTTGACAGACTAATGCAGCAGCTTCAGGACCTGGAGGAATGCAGGTGTAGTACAGAAAAAGAAAAACAATAAACTCCTCTTGTGTGCTTTTGTATATGAAAATCTGGCATGCAGTACCTGAAGAATAACAAAGAGAATAAAAAAACAGTGAGTAAATAAATGCTTCTCTATTCTTTTGTTGTGTCTCAGTTTTGATTCCTTCATTTGTTTATTCCAGAGAAGATCTGGATGAGGAAGAGTACGAAGAGACAAAGAAGGAAACTTTGGAGCAGCTGGGTGAATTCAATGACTCCTTGAAGAAAATAATGTCAGGAGATATGACACTTGTGGATGAACTCAGTGGGATGCAACTGGTATGGACAATTAATGTGCTACTACTGTGTATTAGGAGTGCATTAAATAGGTTATAGCACATTGATTAAGAAAACTGTTGATTAGTAAAATGTCAGAACGTTCAGATGTTTCTGTCTTCATCAGGCGATCCAAGCTGCCATCAGCCAAGCCTTCAAAACCCCGGAGGTGATACGACTTTTTGCTAAGAAGCAGCCAGGACAGCTGAGAAGCAGACTGGCAGAGGTTTGCAATGTCAAATATATATTGTATAATATATACACACACACATACATACACACACAGAGTTGTGGTAAGAAGTTTACACACCCTCATCATGTGCATGAATATCATGTTAATTTGGGGCATTTAATGATTTCTTTGATGTTTCATTTTTACTTTCTGTATTAATGACTTGGAAAAACATGAATTGTGTGCACAAGATTGAATTTAATTTGGATTTTCTCTAAACCATACAGTCTCAAACATAAACATACATTCCCACTAATATTTGATTAAATTGTCATCTCCACTTTTGCTTAACATCAACAATCTTCTGGCATACTTCTTGCTGCATATCTGACCGATCTTCTCGGCAGTGTTGGCAGAATCCATTTAAATTGGTCGGTTTCCTGGCACAGACACGACTTTTAAATGCAGTCCATACATTTTCAACAAGAATGGGGTCGGGGCTTTGGGAAGGTCATTCCAAAAGCTTAATGTTAGCCTGTTTTATCCAAACTGAAACCAGTTCTGATGTGTGTTTGGGATTATTGCTCTGATCATGTGTTGTGCTCATTTGAGGTGAAGTTGAAGAATTTAGAGGTATTCCTCATCCTTCATTATTCCATCCACTTTGTCCACTTATTGAAAGATTTAAGTGAGTGCATGTCTATATTTAAACCTATTATTTCACCCTGGGTGGATTGGAGGAAATCCCCCAAAAAATTCAAACTTGTTTTAAAATTCTTCTTGCTTAATATCATGAAAGATGTTTGCTGGAAGAACAGTTCAAAGAAATTATCAAAAGCCCCAAATTGCCATGATTGCACACGCATTTCTGACCACAACAGCAGAGTTCAGTCACACCTCAGTGTTTATGTGTGGATTCATTTGCCGACCGGTGTGTGGCATACTGTGCAGATGGACCGCGATGTGATGGTGGGAAAACTGTCACGGGACGTGTACACGCAGCAGAAAATGGAAATCCTCACTGCCTTGAGAAAACTGGGGGAGAAGGTGAGGAGCACTCAGAGCACACATGATTATCCACAGAATTGAGGATGATTCAGCGGCTTGTGCTACGTAAAGTCTGAAATGATTCATTTCAGTCATGTAGCCCTCACTAGCTGCCTCAAATCTTTCCTTTCATTCATGTTGTAATTATGTGACAGCTCACCCCAGAAAACGAAACGTTCCTCACTGAAAACGCCACAGCGACCCTGAGCCAGTTTGAAAAAGTGACTGCAAACCAAGGTGAGCATAAAGATGATTTTACTACAAAACTGATACTTTCTCAGATATTTCTGTTGACCTCATTTTGCTTTCTTTTTTCCAGGGTCCGAAGACAAAATAATGGCTTTAGCTAGCTCCGGTGTGAAAACAAAGTCATAGCAGTTCTGCAAAAAAAAAAGTGTGTTTTTAATGAAGACAAAAATGTGCCATTCGATTATGGATTTTCTAAACAATCAGTGCGCTTTTAAGTGCTACTGCAGACGCTGACACTTTTAACAGTATTGTTTTATATGTACACGTCAATCTTTGTAAATGTCTTTTAATCGTCCAGATAAAGTGTAAAAATGTATTTTAGGTACGAGCGTGTGATTTGCTAAAAGGTGCGTGAATGTAGAGGACGGCGCAGACAGTTTGTTATTATGATCTTGTGGTTTGTGCAGTGATTCTTTATTCCAAAATTTCAATATTCAACAGTGCTGTTTTTAGGATGCAGTTTTCCTTCAGGGTGTATTTTTATTTCAGCTAAAACTGAAACTTGTGTGCAGGTGAGATGTAGAGTCTGATATCTTCAGTAAAACTCGATGAGTCTTTCACCAGTTTAGTTGAAATGTGCTGAGTCTGCAGGGTGGATTAGAGCAGCCGTCGTCCAACAATATGAGAATCATAGTTTTATTAATAGTGTGGGTCTTCGGTCTGTTCATGGAGAAAATACAGAGAAAATACAAAGATTTTACAGGATGAAGTAATGAATCGAGACGCTTTACTACTATTCAGTGTCACTTGGGTGTTTCCATTATTTTAATGAGTCCTCTATGCATTTATTATCATGCAACTCAAACTGATGACTGTAGTTTCATGTTGACAGTGATGAAGTTTGATAGTTTTTAAACTCGCATCAGAGTCTGTGTAGAAGTGAATGTCACAATGTTTACAGCATTAATCTTGATATTCTTGCTACTTTTAATGTGAGTAAAAAGAAAACTAACAACAGGCTTCATGTTTTATTTCCCACCATGTACACTCACCTGCCACTATGTACACCTGTTCAGCTGCTCATCAGCATTAATATTTTATCAGCCAATCACATTGCATGTAGGCATGTTAGCATGGTCAAACAGAGTACCGTGAACAGTATAAAAGCATGGATCTGATTGGGCTGCTGCTGGTGGTGTAATGGTGTGGGGGATATTTTCTTCACACATTTTGGGCATCAAATAAACACCACAGCTTACCTGAGTGTTACTGCAGGCCATGTCCGTCACTTTATGACCACCGTGTATCCGTCTTGAATCTTTGCCGAAAGAATTAAGGTAATTCTGAAGGCAAGGAGGGTCCAACTTGATACTAGCAAGTCAAATCTAATAAAGTATCTCATGAGTGTATACACTGTTACATTCGTGGATGCTCATTTTAAACATGGGCAAAGTCTGAAATAATGAGATTGGCAAACATACGTGTCGTCCCGGAGTGCCTAAAGCTTCAAACTGCTCTCAAGGTTCACTTCAGACAGTTTTCAAATCTTGTCTCTGTATGATGTCACTGAGAGTGGGTATCATAAATATGCTCTGAGCACAGGAGGCCCACCCACCTGCTGTTCAAACCCGTTTTTGAGGGGCAGCCAATTCTAAGAAAGGGAACTGAAAAATATACCCAAGCATTAAGGCCTTACTGGTATTACTGGTGGTTCTACTATACACAGTTTGAAATGTGAATCATGCAAAGCAGCCCTGGTAGAGCGCACGAATAAAAGCATGGAGTTGAAAAGGAGCATAATAAATCCACCAGCTCTATATTTTATCGTGGAGCTGTAGCAGATCTCAGTTTCACCACCAGAGGGCAACAGTGCTCAATATTTACAAAAAAAAGACTCACAGCACCACCCAGGGTGTGTTCCCATGCTGTGCACCGGCACCATGTTTACACTAGAGAATACAATGAAGGAAAACAAGAGCAGACAGAAGTTATACCCCATCTCATCTTCCTTTATTTTGTTTACGAGCAAGCATCAACCTCACTACATTTGCCTTTCAACTGGTAGAAAAGAGAGCAGCTCCAACAAGCACAAAGGAAACATCCAACCACGCTGAAAACACCGTCACCGTCCATTTTGAGCAGATTTTAAAACAAAGAAGAAGAAAAAAAATAATTCTTGAGTGTCATGGATGTGTGAAACAGACAATCTGAGAATCAGTAGTGTATCACGTCTCCTTTCTCACTCCGGTCTCATAGGCCCACGTGGAGCGTACACACACACTTGTGGTTCATGCAAAGTCAATATACCCCCACCCACCTGTCCATCCACCCACCCTTCCTTACTTCATCTTGATGTTGTTACAGTATGGTTGCATTTCAGATTGTTAGGCAGTGACATTCATTGGGGGCGCACCAGAAAGCAAACGAGATGCTAGTGAACCTTTCAACTGTAGCTGAAATGTGGACATGAAGTGTTTGACACAATGAAACCGTGAGAATTGCGTCACCGACAGGCATATATACTCTTGTGAAATTTCATGCTGCCCTAAAAAAAATAAAAATAAAAAATAAAAATTGTTTCTCAACAGCTCAAGCAACAGGACACTGTTAAAAAGAAGAAAAAAGAAACTCACCTTCCACTATACACAAATAGGTCAGTATACACGCTGTATGCTGCCAAAGCAATTTCATAATGTACATCTTTTAAAGGTGGATTCCGTCAATATGATTTTTAAGTACAATATCTATAGAAGATACAATGTGGATCTACTCCTCTACACATCAACAAGGACACGTGACATCTACGTAAAATGTTTTCACCTGTAATAAAACTAGCGTCGGCCTATTATCGCGACAAACTGAGAGAAAACGTCTCCCCAGCTACGAAAGAAATCTAGCATTAAAAATAAAAATAAAAGAGCACGGATAAGTGTGTTTGTTAGACCAGCTAATTACGCTATGATCGGCAAAAGGCACTCCCATCTCAGCCGGCTCAGACCTGGCGCCCCCCCCCTTTTTATTTTTTTTAATTTTTTTCAGTTTTTTCATTTTTTAAAACAAGCCAAAGTCATGGAAGGGAGACTGTTCACTAAGTTTCAAATGCACACCTATTAAAGAAAATCAAATAAATCAAATGGATTCACTGAGCTGAAAACAAAAGTAGCCTGGAAACTTTTTACATCAACAATAATAATAAGCGTTGAAGGTGTTTTTAATTAATTTTGGCCTCTGAAAACGGATTTGCACGCATAGACTTTTCCAATCCCGATAATGCCATTTTCTGCACAATCCAAAGCCCCAAACATGGTCGTAATAAATGCAGGTTTGGGAAACGCTTATATTTTACTCTGTACCCTCCCATAAAAGACGAACACTAAAATCGTTCAGTGTGACGGCACGTTTTTATCTGGTCTGGTGAAAGATTATATACAAGTTATGGACAACAGTGTCTGAGAGGAGACAAGAGGTCGGACACACTTTCCCAATCGTAAGCTTCATACTAATACCCGAAGGAAAATAAGTTTACCAAATGTAAACAAATATCTTTGAACAACTCTACAGTACAGTTTCATGTACAATAAAATCTAGTGGTCTACTGCAAAAAAATATCTCACTTTAAGATTCAAAGATTCATTTTTAAAGTGTTTTCCTGCTGAAGCAGCAAACAGTTTAAAATGTACCTCATACAGGCTATGTAGTATTATTTTAGGTAAAATAGCCGTGCCATGAAAAGAAAAAAAAAAGAAAACATTGCCAGCAATTCAACGATTCAGCCAGTCTCCACTAAAGCTCATAAACATTTTCTTTCAGTAGCTTGAAAGGGTTTCTCCTTGAACCACAACAGGGACTGGGACAGGGACAACGGTTTTAAAGCTGCTGAGGACATTTTAGTACCCTTATTTTCACCACGAACGGCACTACTGCTGAGCCGATCTTTGTGATTCCACACGACATTTTCTGAAACTGAAAGAAGATTCCCTCTGTAGTGTACATCAGTGAGATCTGCTGGGAATGAAACAACACTAAAGCCAGGAGTAGAGCGTTGCCACGCGTGCAAGCGAAGCAAAAGCATCATGTGAAGCTGAAACCGTCAACTAAGCCCTCTGCCTACGAGAAAGCAAAAGAAACTACTTTACTCCTCGCAAAAGATTAAAGAAAAGGGACGAAATGGACACCTTTTTGTCATGGAAACCGCTGAACAGTCCTCGGTTTCGCATCATGAAGCGAGACATTTTGTACAAGCGTGATGGAACATCTTTTGCAGAAATTCAGCGGCATGCTGCGACAGCCTGTGTGACACAAATAGTCTACATTACATAATCGTAGATATTGGACCCCATTGATTAGGTCTTCACTAACACATTGACTAATTACATGGTTTCATTATATTTACAAAAATCTTTAAAAAGCAATTTATTTCTCTACACATGACTTCCCCAAAATTTCTCCATGCACTAAAAAGAAAAACAAAAAAAAAAAAGAAATGGAAGAGGAAAATGCAGTCTACTTGTTAAAAGCATCATTTTCGATTCACTGTGGACTACAAGTCAAGAAAACCCAAGTCGGAGCTAGTTGTGAGTTTAGCGAATTAATCTACAAGCATTAGCAAAGAATATACATCAGGAGAAGCGATTACTCTGCTCTTCAAAGCCGTACATCTGAGAGAAAACAAACAAAGTGCAGGGTTGGCTTCCTCACACAGTTCCAATGTAAGCCAGGTTTTCCTGGGAATTAAAATATAATAAATAAAAAAAAGTCAGCAATCTGGTGATGACTACACTACACTGAGTACCACCACTAAGATAACAACAGGAAAACCTTGACCATATATACGCTGAAGGGACTTTATGTTTCTCCTTTTCTTGATTTTTTTTATTTTTGTTAAGTTTTTACATCATGGCTCCTAGACATGAAACTGCAGGGAGTGCTGTGTTTGTGAGTGTGTGTGTGAGGGAGGGAGTATGAGTGAATTTCTGATGTGTGTGTCAGGAGCTCTTGTTTGGGTGTCTTGTGTGTGTTTAGTAGGTGAGGGTGGAGTCGTCCCACTCCAGCTGCTGCTGTCTGCTGGCCCCCTGCTGGTCCTCCGGCTCGCCGCCCTCCTCGTCTTCGCTGCTCTCTGACTCAGCGCTCGTGATGTCATCTTCTTCCTCGCCGTCCTCGCTCTCCTCCTCCTCTTCCTCCTCCTCCTCGCTGCTGTGCTGGTCC